CAGGAATTATTCTGCACTTGATGCTGGCTGTTGGGAGGGTATTAAGTGTTCCACAGTGCCCTGTGTGTCAAACCGCCTGTTCCTGTTGCTCTTGAATCAGTGATCCTGTTTCTTTGCCTGTTACCCTGAACCCTTCTTTGGGCCTGTTACCCTGATCCTGCTACCTCTACCTGATCCCCACTCTGGCCCCCTTCCTAACCCATCTCACCAGCTGTTCCTTGCACCTCCTACCTGATACTTCCTTGCCCGATCTCACCTCTTGCTTTCTGTATAGTGTATTGTAGTTATTTTGTTAGGCTGGTTTCATACTGATCTGTTTTTTTTCTACTTTTGCATTATAAAAAGCGGAAGAAAAATGTGTGACCATGTATTCCAATGGAACTCTTCACACTGATCCGCTGCAGGTCAGGTGCATTCTTTAACCACTTCCATACTGGGCACTTTTACCCCCTTCCTGCCCAGGCCAAATTTCAGGTTTCAGCACTGTCACAAATTGAATGACAATTGCGCGGTCATACAACACTGTATCCAAACTAAAAATGTATCATTTTGTTCACACAACTAGAGCTTTCTTTTAGTGGTATTTAATCACCGCTGGGGTTTTAATTTTTTGCTAAATTAACAAAAAAAGACCGAAAATGTTGAAAAAAAAACCACGTTTTTCTCTGTTTCTGTTATAAAAGTTTGCAAATAAATAATTGTTCTTCATGAATTTAGATGTATTCTGCTACATTTCTTTGGTGAAAATAACCCAAATTAGTATTTATTATTTAGTCTGTAGGAAAGTTATAGAGTTCACAAATTATGGTATAGATCTGAAAATTGATCCATCCTGAAGTACTGACGGCCAATCTAATTTCTTGAGGTCTAAGAATATCAGAAAAGTACAGATATCCCCCAAATGACCTCTTTTTGCAAAGTAGACAGACCGATGTATTTCATAACAGGCATAGCGAGTTTTTTTAATAATTTTTTGGAAAATGAAGAAATTAAAAAAAATTATTTTTACTATTTTTTTTCTTGCATACTGTCACCAGTGCAGTACAGCATCATCATATAACTGGCATGGTGGTGATCAGGGACACTGACTGGTGACAGTATGAAAAAACAATTGATAATTTTTTCAATTTTTTTATTATTTTTTATTACATTTTTTTCTCTTTTTTTTTAGATTTTTTTTTCATATTGCACTATGACCAAAGTTGTATAATGTTACATAGTAACATTGTACTACTTTGGGGAAGTGATTAGTATTTTTTTTTTTCCACACAATTTGCTTATAGCAAAGAATTACTTTGCTATAAGCAAGCATTTACCTGAATGAAATCGATTCATTCAGGGTTTTATTTTTGTGATTAGCTGTGATTTGGCCACGACTAATTACATGACACAGCTGGGCTGTGATTGGCCCAGCTTGTGCATGTGATTGCCATGACCATTCACAGCTAGACACACTTGTATACAATGGATGGCATGAAAGGAAGTCATCCATTGTATTCAACTGCCATGTGACCTGCTGTGATTGATCACAGCAGGTCACATGGTACTGGCAAGCAGGCCGGTACACAGATCTGTCATCGGTCGTGTCCAAGGTACACGGCCGGTGACAGATCTTGCCACTGTGTGGCCCTTTGGACATGCGCAATGCGTGTTCCAGAAAGGACACCATATGGCGTCTACCCGGAGGGATGAACTCTTCGCCCGGCTGCCATCTGGCTATAGGCAGCAACTGGTTAAAATTCTGCTTGCTGTATTTTTGATTCAGGTTTAGTGCAAGGAAAAAAAAGCACTAAAAATGCACCTCCTCATTGAAATCAATAAGAACCGTGACAAAAACGCACACACGGTGCATTTTTAGTGTGTCTGTGAGTCACATGTCCTGCAAAAAAATATAAAAGCTGTAAAAATGCGGCAAATCTGCTGTAATCGTGGTAAAAACACATGCGTTTTTGCTAGGATCAGTGGGAAATCAGCCTAAGTTAGGTAGTTTTTCGCTCTGTCTCACTTACCACATAGGTTTCACTTTTGTGATTTCAAATTATTTGAGCTGTTACAAGGAAGCAGCAAAACACAGTAAGAAACAATTTCATGAAAAATGGATTGCCGGACCATTAGGTTGTAGATGGTTGTAGGTTATTTTCAATCAAGCCCTCATTAAGGGGGTATGTTTGAACCTCAAAATGCTTCAGGTAATCTTCAGATTGTCCATCTAACTTTTATTGGAATAAGGTTATATCTGGACCTTTTAACAGTGGTATGGTGCTTTAATTTCCATTTTTCTTACATTACCCTGACACAGTAAAGCAGTGGTCATGAGATTTAGCAAACTCAACCAAGCTCAACCATTCATTAGTAATTCCCAACTGGAGGCCGGTGCTTAGTTATTTCTAAAAAGAACCATGTAAGCATGATTGCACTTGTTATTGATTTAATGTGTATTATTAATGAAACACACCATTTTGTTTGCCAATCCCATTAGTTTGTCTTCAACTTCTGCTGCTTCTCAATGTGAATAGCTTAATTCATTGTTTTAGTTAATGAAGTTAGCACCGCCCCTACCTTCATTGGAGGGGCTGAGATATTATATATGCTGAGTGTGATTTTAATTTTTATATGCTATGAATAAGAATCTCGCCAAAACGCGGTAGCATTTATGGATCTTGTACTTGTACCTTCTAACCAATAAATAACTGGATTTAGAAGCAATCGAGCTGCCAGCTAATATTTTTGAAGATAAGCAGTGGTCATGGCACCAACATAGGCAAGGATTAAAAGCAGCTGAATGTGCGTAAAAAATTTAAGGTTAAATAGTACTTTAGGGCTCTAAATGGATTTGTTCCATATCCATATGCCAAAGATAAAGACAGATGAACTTTTGCTGAATTCGAAAAAATCTGTCGTTTATTCAAACTTTGGAGGTGACATAGTTACATAGTTAGTCTGGCTGAAAAAAGACATAAGTCCATCCAGTTCAACCTAAAAAAAAAAAAAAAGTTATAATCCTACACCCACAGTTGATCCAGAGGAAGGGAAATAAATCCAGCAAAGCACGATCCAATTTGCTCCTGCTGGGAAAAAAAATTCCTTCCTGATCTCCTGAGAGGCAATCGGATATTCCCTGGATCAACTTTACCTATAAATGTTAGTATCCAGTTATATTCTGTGTATCTAAGAAAGCATCCAGGCCTTTTTTGAAGCAATCCACTGAGCTGGCCAGAACCAACTCTTGAGGGAGTCTATTCCACATATTCAAAGCTCTCACTGTGAAGAAACCTTTCCATGTTTGGAGATTACATTTATTTTCCAGACGTAAAGAGTGCCCCCTTGTCCTCTGTGATGACCTCAAGGTGAATAGCTCTACACCGAGTTCACTATATGAACCACTGATGTATTTATACATGTTGATCATATCCCCCCTTAATCTCCTCTTTTCAAGAGAGAATAAATTCAGTTCCTCTAGCCTTTCCTCATAGCTGAGCTCCTCCATGCCTCTTATCAGTTTGGTTGCCCTTCTCTGAACTTTCTCCAGTTCTCCAATGTTCTTTTTGCGAATTGGTGCCCAAAACTGAACTGCATATCCCAGATGAGGTGTTACTAATGATTTTGTACAGGGGTAATAAGATATCTCTCTCTCTGGAGTCTATACCTCTTTTAATACAAGAGAGGATTTTGTTTGCTTTAGAAACCACAGCTTGGCATTGCATGCCATTATTAAGCTTGTGATCTACCAGAACCCCCAGATCCTTCTCCACCATTGATTCCCCCAGTTGTACTCCCCCTGGTATGTATGATGCATGCATATTCTTAGCCCCCAAGTGCATAACCTTACATTAAACCTCATTTGCCGCATAGTTGCCTAATTAAACAGTGCATTGAGGTCGGCTTGTAAGTTGAACACATCCTGTAAGGACGTTATTCCACTGCACAGCTTGGTGTCATCTGCAAAGACTGAAATGGTATTTTTAATCCCAGACCCTATATCATTTATAAATATATTAAAAAGTAAGGGTCCCAACACTGAACCTTGGGGTACACCACTGACAACCCTAGACCATTCAGAGTATGAATCATCAACCATTACTCTCTGAATATAATTTCTATCCATTTACATATGGATTTTTCCAAGCCCGTAGACTTTACCTTACACATTAGTCATGTGTGGGGAACTGTGTCAAACGCTTTTGCAAAATCCAAGTATATTACATCCACCGCCACCCCTCTGTTCAAGGTTTTGCTCACCCCCTCATAAAAAGAAATCAGATTTGTTTGAAAACTACTGTCTTTAATGAATCCATGCTGTCTGTTGCTTAAAATATTTTTTTCCAGCAAGAACTCACCTATGTGGTCTTTTATTAAACTCTCCAGCATCTTCCCAACTATAGAAGTTAAACTAACAGAGCTATAATTACTTGTTAGAGATTTTGACACCTACTTCTTCTGGGAGATCTATTTACTGTTAGAATAAATTTTTTGCATTCAGCTGCAGTGAGGCCTTATTTCTCTTTATCTTTATTAAATGTGAACCTTCACATACATATGGAGATCATATATATTTATTTTGACAAGATTAGTTTAATAGCCATGCATAAGCTATAGAAGTTCCTGGATTAATTAGATGCAGTCAGTGTCTTACCTGAATTTCAAGTAACAGTAAAACCTTAAATTAATAACATTTAATTTGTTTGTGTAATCTTGTTTTGTTTTAATAAAGTACTTGTTTTCAGCTTTTTTAATCCTTTGTTGCATCTCAGTGCTGCAGAGCTCCTGCCGCCACTTCCTGCCCACAAACCAGCACTGGTTCCATGGTCTTTCTCAGGGCAGGTTTCCTAATGGAATTAAATGTTCATTTGCAACAAGTTTACAACCAAAAACTACAACTGAGATAGGGGGCCAGCATGTTGTCACCCTATAACAGGAAGTTCTTAATGACCTTAATGACAGGATCACAAGGTTGTTATTTTAACCACTTGCCCTCCACCTTAGAGCAGAAGTACTGCTACAGGCAGGGGCGGACTGACCATTTGGAAACTCGGGCACTGCCCGGGGTCAGTAGGGGGCCCCATGAAATGCCCCTGGTACCTTTTTCATAGGCTTTTTTGAGTTTGGGCAAGGACACAGGGGCCCCATGATCCCTATTGCCCAGGGGCCCCATGAGTTGTCAGTCCGCCCCTGGCTACAGGGCAGCAGAGCTGCGCAAATCAAGTATATATACGTGATTTGCATTTCTGGGTATGGAGCACAAGAAATGTCAGTCACAGGCAGGGGCGGACTGACCATTCGAGGACTCGAGCACTGCCCGAGGGCCCTGGGTCAGTGGGGTCCCCATGAAATGCCCCTGGTACCTTTTATAGGCTTTTTTGGGTGTTCTTTGAGTGTGGGCAAGGACACAGGGGCCCAATGATCCCCTATTGCCCGGGGGCCCTATGAGTTGTCAGTCCGCCCCTGGTCACAGGGTCACGGCTGACGATTCCTGGCTGGCACTTGCCCATCTCTGGGTAAAACTAACAGGGCAGAGACCTGTGTGTAATCAACAAAGGTCTCTCTTCTGTCAGCATGGACATGCTGTTTTGTATCTCTCTGCACAGCAGAGAGATACAAAACAGCATGTCTCCCTAGTAAAACAAAGTACACAGCACACAGTTAACCCTTTGATCGCCCCAGATGTTAATGCCCAGTGTCATTAGTACAGTGTCAGTGCTTTTTATTAGCACTGATCACTGTAATAGTGTCACTGGGGATATCAGTGGCAGTTAGTTCCTACCCAGTGTCAGAATGCTCATCGCAGTCCCGCTATAAGTTGCAGATTGCCTCCATTACAAGTTAAATAAATAACAATTACAGTATATATACGCTATAACTCTCACGTAAACAAATTCATTTACACAGATTTTTTAGGAAAGACACGTAGCAGAATATATTTTGGCCTAAATTTATGAAGAAATTAGATTTTTAAAAAAATTTTATTGGATATGTTTTATAGGAAAAAGTTAAAAATATTGTGTTTTTTTTTTTTTGTAGCGAAAAAAAAAGCTAGAGCTAGAGAAAGCTCTATTTGTGGGAAAAAAAGGACATAAATTTAATTTATGTACAGCATTGCATGACAACGCAATTGTCCGTTAAAGTAACACAGAGCCGTATCACAAAAAATGGCCTAATCAGGAAGGGGGGGGTAAATCCTCTGGAGCGCAAGAAAGGCTGCAGCTTTAAACATATTTAAAATGACTTTTGAAAGTACATTAATATTTTAAAGCTGTATGACATTTTAGTGATTGGGCTTGCATGTATAACTAAGGCTCCATTCTCACTAGCATGATTTCAGATGACTTGAGTTGCAGAGAACCGCATGACAATTGAAAGCACATTGTTTTCAATGGTGCCCGTTCACATTAATGCAACCCAGCACAGCTGTATTTTGGAAAAGGATCCTGTTCTTGGTGTGATTCCAGCCACAAAGAATATGCAAATCTCATCCAAGTTGAAGTAAATCATCTCACTGCAAATCGGATGGCAGTAGTGTGAACCTAGGCTTAATCAGTTGCAGAACATGTGTACTTCATACGTGTCCATAAATTAAAATGATGAGCTGGCAATCACATCAGCTACATTTTGAAGGCTCTATTCTTTCAGTTTTTTTGTAGCATATAGTTAGTTTTTTCATTACTACTTTTCGCAAGCTTGGGCAGTCTCATTTCTTTGGCATTAAAGTACACCCTTACCAGTAAAGGCAAGCAATGATAATTTTTTTGGATGTATGTATATTTTTTAGTTTCTTTTCCATCCTGTAAGTTATTGCAATTTCCCTTTGGCAGATATGCTCATCCAGCAAGCAGACTGGGACATTCCTTCATATTTCATAATTAAACACAGATCAACATACTACTACTTCTTCTAATCTAAAACAAATTCTGTCCTGATCAAATCATTGTTATGCAGGCATGACAACCAAATGCAAAATAATTAATGTCCACAGAAGCATTGTTCAAATTCAGCAATAAAAACTGAACACTATGATGATAGATTTTCCCTTATAGTTATGCCTCATAATTATTTTAGTTGACTTGAAACTGTGCTCACTGAGATGATTGTTTAATTTACAAAGAATATCCAAATTCAATTTTTTTTTGTTCTGTCTGTGTTCCTTTGTTGCAGAGACAAAACATTTCAGTTTTAGTTACAATAAAAATCTTGGATTTCCTCACACACACAGCGACAATTGTATGGGGGCAAATAATGAAAGCAAATCTCCCTAGCAAAGACAGACAGAGGTTCTAACACTACTATTCTATCAAGAAAATGGCTGTTCATACACTTTAAATGTATCATAGCTATAAGCCATCAGATATCTATAATTTCTGGATGGATATGCAAATAGACATGTACATTTTCTTCCTGGGGTCATCCCTAACTTGTGGGTAGTATAGACAATGGCTATTAAAATCTGACACTGCAGATCTAGTATGTTGTTTTTTTCTAGTTTTGGTGGCACTAACTGTTGTTAGTGTAGCAGTACCCCCCCTGTAGGAGTCACTGAATAGCATGGGTCCCTTGCTCTTTTGCCATGGCCACCGCAACTCTGACACAATGGGTTGAGTGTATGGACATGCAAAGACACAGAAAAGTAGCATTTTGCTATTAGAAGTAATACTTTGTCAAAGAAACAGGCATTAAGCAATTCAGTAAAGCGAATTACCGTAATATGTTGTCACTAGGCAAAGTTGATAACAAAGCAAAAACAGAATTGAAGCAGTACTGTTGGTACCACTATTGGCATACAAAATGTTTGGTAGTAAAGACTAAGCAGAATAGTTGCACTTGGTTTCCAGATTAGCATAAAGAGTAGCAAGGACACTGTAGGTGCAGCAGTGGATAGTCATGATTTGTAAACTACCAGATGCAAGACTACACGGCCAGAGTCGTCTTTTATGGTGAGTAGGCCTAGTCTGACTGGTAATCATGGTCCACAGTAAATTAGTAGTGATGGAGGGGGAAAAGAAGGATGTGTGGGGTGATTTAATGGAAGGGGCAGTCCTTTTAAGGGCTTCTTCTGTCGGCTATCATTGGGGCCCTTTAAGAAGCATTGGAGCACTTATTAGTAGTACCAAATAAACCAGCATGCAGTGTAGTATGGTAAATATGCAACATGCAAGGGAAAGTATACATTTAGAATAGGTAGGGCACAGATGCAATGTGATATGCTTAATGTCCTGTCTCCAGTGTCTCAGGTCCTGCTAAAAGGGCATATAGTGAGCTAAGAGCACTCTCACCAGTCCCTGCGATTCAGCTGGATGCCTGTAGTAGAGATGGGAAACTAACTTTCTCTGATGCCTCTGAATTGTGGTGGGAAGCTAACTGAACACTGTGGTCTGCTTTCGTCCTGGGCCTCCTGACTAGTCTCTCCCAACCTGGTCTAGCAGCAGCCAACCCTGGATGCAAATGTGTTCTCCCTGATTGCCTGGCACTGAGAGAGCTAACTTTCCCCAACAGTCCAGTAAAAACTGTCCTGCCCCCCCCCGCTTCTTGGTGCCTTCTGGGAATTGTAGTGTAAAGAATGCACCATCCCAATGCATGGCTGCTGTCTTGAACTACAACTAATAATTCATGCAGACTCCACCTCCGCAACATCGCCAAAACCTGCACGTTCCTAACCCCAGAAACCACTAAACAGCTCATTCACTCCCTCATCATATCACGATTCGACTACTGCAACTCCCTCCTCACTGGCCTGCCTCGCCACAGGCTATCCCCACTTCAGTCGATCCTGAATACGGCGAACAGACTCATTCACCTTACCATCCGCTCCGTTTCCGCCACCCCCCTCTGCCAATCTCTCCACTGGCTTCCGATTGCGCAACGGATCAAATTCAAAATCCTAACACTGAAGTACAAAGCTGTCTACCATACTGCCCCAAATTACATCACCGACCTAATATCCAAGTACCGCCCAGCACGCACACTCCGCTCCTTACAAGACCTCCTTCTCTCTAGTTCCCTGGTCTCCTCCTCCCATGCCCGCCTCCAGGACTTCCCCAGGGTGTCACCCATCCTCTGGAACTCCCTTCCCCAACTCATCAGACTATCACCTACTCTCCTCTCCTTTAGGCGTACCCTGAAAGCTCACCTCTTCAGGGAAGCCTACCCCACCCCATGCTAATTTGCCAACCTCCTCCACTCTTCCTACCACTCCATCCCCCACAGCTATCCCCTCCTGTACCACTCTCCCCTCCCTCCTAGATTGTAAGCTCGAAAGAGCAGGGCCCTCGAACCCCACGTGTATCGCATTGTATTGTTACTGTACTGACGCATGTTCTGTCCCCCTTTGTAATGTACAGCGCTGAGTGAACTGTTGGCGCTTTATAAATACTGTATAATATTAATGATAATTCACTCTCAGCTGGGCTGGTTTGACTTTGCTTTGCCTTATGACTGGAAGGAATAACGCAGCACAATATCAGCATTACAGTAATAAGTAGAGCAAAAGGGTACATTGTCTCCTACTCCATATTGCTGTAGCTCAGCATCTTGCTACATGGTGTGGGAACACTGGCTGAAGACTTTATGGAACACAAATTCTGTCATCAATAAATGTAAATTTTATCACCCATACATAATTGTAGTGAACACTTTTATGGCATTTGATATTTTGACAAATATTTATCTCCCTTGAGAAAGTGATAGTAGGTTACTCACCAATACCCTCAACCAAACCTGCAATCCTAACCCTAAATCTCAAACTAACTTCTTAACGTAACCCTTGACCTCAGCCTAACCCCTACATGTATTTCTTATTCTCCTTTCTAGAATTGGTCTTGAATAGAGATGAGCGAATCGAACATGACGAAGTGGAATTCGTTCCGAAGATTTGGAAAAATTCTATTCGCGACGAATCCGAAGATTAGCAAACTTCGGATGCACGAATCGAATTTTCCCAAAAATGGCGGCGACATGTGTGGCGACAGGAGAAAATGGACAAAGAAGATGGGGCGGGAATCTCTGGGAAGGCGCGCAGACAAGGCGCGCTGACCCATAATGCATTCATGAGTCATGAATCATGACATGTGATCGCATTAGCCAATCAGCAGCCAGCCAGCCAGCACTGTGTAATGGTGGAGCTATAAATCGCGGCCATCTTAGAATTCTCCATTAGCCTCCGGTCATTCAAGAGAGACAGACCTCTGTGTATTGAGGGACAGAGTTAGGGCCACAGAGACTTTAGGGCCACAGAATCGTTACTCAGGGACACAGAATCGTTACTCAGGGACACAGAATTGTTACTCAGGGACACAGAATTGTTACTCAGGGACACAGAATTGTTACTCAGGGACACAGAATCGTTACTCAGGGACACAGAATTGTTACTCAGGGACACAGAATCGTTACTCAGGGACACAGAATTGTTACTCAGGGACACAGAATCGTTACTCAGGGACACAGAATCATTACTCAGGGACACAGAATCGTTACCAAGGGACACAGAATCGTTACTCAGGGACACAGAATCGTTACTCAGGGACACAGAATTGTTACTCAGGGACACAGAATCGTTACTCAGGGACACAGAATTGTTACTCAGGGACAAAGAATTGTTACTCAGGGACACAGAATCGTTACTCAGGGACACAGAAT